TTCGGATCCTTCTCCGGCGGGTTGACGATGTTATCCTTCATGTTAAAGTAAATTTCTTTCCTGTTTCAGCGACAACAACTGTTTTCCTTTACGTAGAAAACGTGTAGGACTGGTACAGTTTTGTTTTGGTGCTGTTGTGCATGGAAAATAATCTTCTACCTTTTAGTTTTTGATTTTTGATTTCTGAGTTTTATAGATAATCCACAGTGTCGCCCATACATTACTGCCTGATATACAACAACCACCCAAAAAAGGAGTGACAACCAGTTGACGATTGATGAGGCTATTATTATAGACGGTAATGGGGGCGCTGGTGCTGGTGGAGGCGTGGTGGCAGGGAACTCAACTTAGGAGCGACTTGTTCCAAAGCATCCAGATAAGTATCCAGCGACTGCAACAACAATTGAACAACGTTGCTGCTCAATATTATACCATTGTTTCTGATTTGAGAGCCTACATCCGGCATCGTGATCGAATTCTAAACAAAAACATTCGTGCTTTTGGCGGAACAGTTGAAGGTGGCTTGCGAATCCAACTCCAACAAGCAAATACTGGTTGCAGACTACGACACTACCACTTCCAGCAAGTGGAGCAAATGCAGATGTTGGTCCCATCGAAGTTGCGAACATGGCTATTCTATCTGGCAATTCCAGGTCGTTAAACGAACTCTCCGGGAGTTTCAGCATCGGATTGCTGGTTGGAAGCCTGCATGTTTTTTCACGGCTAGAGAACGAAAATCTTCCAGTTAAATCTAGTGTAACAGTTGCATTAGTTTTATGAATACGGTTTACACAGTATGCTGTAATTGCTGCTTGATTGCTTGCTTTTTTATGTAGAGATATTGTACCGTAGACGTAAAGTTCACTCGTCTTGTTCGTGCGGTTTGGGTGAGCATTTTGATTGGCTGGAAATGTGCAGCTGGTGCGACATGCGCACATACCATGTTATAACGACAGTATTACAGCACTACCGGTACTGTACTGTAGGTACCATTACCAGTTCTGCACAGTCCAGAGCGTTCGCACTTCACCTTTCCTCTCACAACCTCAGAAATGAGCCTTCTGCAAAAATTTGTAGTTCCAAGTTTGGGATCAAGGCCACTGAAAGGATCATGGCAAGGCTGGTCAAGGCGAAATTTTACAACTTACATGACCGGGACCTCTCAGTATCCTTTTCTGTCTTCGAGAGCTGCCCCAAACTATTTCTGCTTTTCCCAGCATAGAGAGTTTGCGTCTTCGAGAAGGCGGCAGCTCCAAAAAGGAAAGAAAGAGACAAATTTACTAACAAATGAAGATTTGATTTCTTTTATAATGCGTAAGCACAAAACCCATCCACAAAACGTTAAGGTGCGGCTTGTAATTGACGAAGGACAAGACAAGCCTGCGACTGTGTCGGTTGTCTCCCTGGCAGACGCCATCGAAGTATCGGTAGATCGCATGACAGATCTTATTGGAACTTCGTTGGACTCGAATCCACCTGTGATTCGAGTAACCGCGCTTTCGAAACTTGAGTATCGACAGCAACAGTCACAGCAGAAAGGAAACGCCAAGTCAAAAAAGCAAACCAAGTCATTTCGATTTCGATCTGGTATTTCTGATCACGACTTAGAACGCAAGCTTGAGGCCATGACAAAGTCACTGGAGAAGGGGCTTGAATGTGATTTTTCGGTATTTACTCGTGCTCGCCGTTTACAACAAAATAAAAATATTGGGTTTGAGCTCGTCGAAAGAATACAGCTGCTCGTTGCTGAATTCGGCCAAACAAAAGGCAAGCCACAAGTAAACGAATCCGGAACTTTTGTCCGGGTGAAATTAATGCCAAACAAAAGGAATGGCTGAATCAACCATCTCTGAAAGTTAAACTTGCCATTGCTAGTCATTGTTATCAAAGCTGCGGAAATGGTCCAAATTTTTCGGATTCGACAAAAATGGTTTGACAGCGTGAATAGCATCAACCAAATAATCTTGTTCAAATTTTTGGTTTGGGGCAGTGTCATCCTCGTGCACTGTCATGTCTCGAAGCATTCGCATCTTTGCGGTTTGGCATGCTCCAATAATCTCTGCGCCTGTCATAGTGCCGCACATAACCGCCATGGCTTCAAAGTCGATGTCCTCCCCACCTGGAATCTGCATTTGAAGAATCAGTTTTTTGGCATGGTGATCCGGTGGAGGCACGTAAACAATCTTATCGCCAAGACGACCGGGTCTGAGCAAAGCAGAATCGAGTGCCCAAGGGCGATTTGTTGCTCCGAGAACCAAGAGAGCACAATCAGATTTGTTGTTGTTGTCAACGCCATCCATTTCATTTAGAAATGTCGATAGGACACGGGCCTCTGCAGAATTCCCACGAGATTGATTTCCGTTTCCAAATAGCGAATCGACTTCATCAAAGAACAAAATACACTTTGGTAAGTCAGGGTTAGTGTTGCGAATGAATGTTTGTCTGTCGGTGTGTGCGAATTGTGTTACTTACCGGAGCCGCAGCTCTTGCCAAAATGAACGATCTTCTAACGAGTCGCTCGGCTTCTCCGACGAAAGGCGAGGCATACACCTGTGCTGGGTTCATACTCAAGAACCCTACTCCGGATGCACCAGCGGCGGCTCTTGCCAATGTCGTTTTCGAACATCCAGGTGGACCATGAAGAAGTATTCCACGAGGGGGAGTCAATCCCAGGTCCTCAAATGCGCCCTTCTTTTGACGGGGCCATTCAACTGCCTGTCGGAGTGCAGTCTTTTATGGATTCGGTGAGTTGGCAAGGAAGGAGACGGTGCTAAAAAAATCGAACAACCAACAATGGACGAACCTTTGCACCACCTGGGTCTCCAACAACATCATTCCAGTCAGCATTCGGAGGCTTGCAGAACGCAGCATCACGCAACGATGATGCCCCGACGTCTTGCGTTGCACCTTCCAAGTAGTCCACTACAGAACTCGAATAGACATATTTTCGATTAGACCATGTTTCCTCTTTGTGTCGAAGGAAGATAGCTCTGTTGACCAGAGCTTGCAAATCAGCTGGAACATAACCTACAGTATTCTCAGAGATTCTCAATATCTCGTCACGGTCCTTTTCCCCCATGTGTTCCGTTGTCTTTTCTCGAAACAACTGTAGAAGAACCTCATTTCGCTGTTCTGCAGTAGGTGGCAACACTGGGATCTCACAGTCAAATCGTCCAGCCCGACGCAACCAGATAGGAATACTGTCGATTCTGTTGGTAGCTCCAACAACAATAAGCTGTTCTCCATATTTACTCAAGCGATCAAGCAACATCGCCAATGCAGAAGCCACACAGTCAACGCTAACCAATGCGTCACACTCGTCCAGAAACAACAGGACCACTGAGTTGCTTGCTACTGAAAGTGCATTTTTGAACTCTCGCTCTAGTGCACGCGCTGGGTTGGAATCATTTTGTAACAACTCGGAACCCCGTAACGATACCATCTTCACAAAACAAGCGCACTGAGTATAGGCTGCTTTCACTGAAAAAGTCTTGCCAACGCCAGGGTTTCCAGAGAGAAGGAAGGTCCTCGGTATTGGGATTCTTTTTTTGACGCATTGGAATGTATCAATCAGTAACTTTGCCACGTGGGACGGGTCTGAAGGGTTGTACCGGTCGCCACTTGTCAAGGAAATATTTTGTTTATTTTGAATCGTGATTCGAGTGCTATGCACAACTATCACGAATCGAAAAGTTGGAGTCTGTAACTTCTCTCGAAGTGTGACAGTCTTTACTTGTAGTCTTGCGTTTTTCAAGTCGATAAATAATTCGTCGCTGGATTGAAGGAACACCTTTCCGACTAGCTGTCGTTTCAAATCCGCGTTGAAAAGAGCATCGGCCGAACCATTAGAAATGGCTGTTCGACGAGATACCACTTCCACCGATATAGACAGCAAATGAGCCGGCCTAGATTGAAAGGATAGCAGTAGCGGCAGTTTGCGGGTGAGCAAGGAGCCGCTCTTGATATCGATTTGCCTATCAATAATCGCATGAGCAACACAAGTATCTTGGTTCGATTGAGGCGGCAATGACACAGACCAAGCATCAAATTCTGAATCCAAGTTTGAGACAAGATCGGAGACTATTTGTGCCGAACATTCTGATGAGCGTTTTGATACAATAAGAATAGTCTCATCGAAGTAGAGAGAAGATTGTTCAACCATCAGTGACCAGGAATGATCACGCCATCGGCAAAGGATCCATGTTTTTTCACTCTTCAAGATCAAGGCGAAAGATGTATGAAGCCTTGACTTTACTATGTTCCTCTGGTCGCCTCGTCGCCTTCGCCTTGACTTCGGTCGACAGCAACAGTACGATTTTGGTAGGACAATCGGTGGCTCCATCGCAGTTGTGATAATGTTTGGAAGTTGGTACAGTCGTTGGGCGAGGCGAGGTGAGTGAGTGAGACGGGGCAGTTTTTGAAGCCACCAAAGAGTTTCGGAATGACAAAGTCAGTCTTGCGAGTAATACAATAGTCGGTCAGTGAAGTCAGTCGTAAAAAACCGTTAGGGGGATTTACTTTATTCCCCCAATGAAGGTTTCTCCCAACTTTTACGTATACTCGTTATATTGATTAGCGAGGTACGAGAGATTCGGGACGAAAACGAGTACGATGACAAACATGGGGATTTTACAAGATGTGTGCGAATCTCTAGGTTAAACTATCTAACGTACGAATGACGGACACTCTCTTGTCCAATT